CCCTCTCCTCCTTCCCCTTTACCTCAAGAACTCCTTTCACTTGTGTCTTTTCAATTTGTGTTAGTTTCCTAGGGCTGCTGTAACAAAGTACCACCAACAGGATGTCTTTAAACAACAGAAATTTACTGTCCCATAGTTCTGGAGGCCACAAGTCCAATCTCAAGGTGTGGGCTGTGTCGGTTCCTCGTGAGGACTCTGAGAGGGAATCTGCTCCATGCCTCTCCTGGCCTCAGGTGGCCCCAGGTGCTCCTTGGCTTGTAGATGCAGCACTTCAATCCTCCGTCTTCACACGGCACTCCCTGTGTGTCTGTCTTCTTGTAAGAACACCAGTCGTGTTGGATTAGGATCCCACCTTGTCTTAGTCTGTTCAGGCTACTATGACAAACTGCCACAGACTGGGTAGCTTATAGACAACAGAAATTTATTGCTCATGGTTCTGGAGACTGTGAAGTCCAAGATCAAGGTGCTGGCAGATTTGGTGTCTGGTGAGGACCCACTTTCCAGTTCATAGATGGTACCTTCTTGCTCAGTCTTTACATGGTGGGAGGGGAGACCGAGCTCTCTAAGTCCTCTTTTATAAGGGCACTAACGCCTTCATGAGGGCTCCACCCTCATGACCTAGTCACCTCCCAATACCATCACATTGGGGATTAGGTTTCAACATATCAGTTTTGGGGGAACATAAACATTGAAACCGTAGCATACCCTAACTTAACTGATTACATCTGCAATGACCCTGTAAGATCCAAATAAGATCACATTCTGAGGTAGTGGGGGTTAGGACTTCAACATCTCTTTTTTGGGGGACACAATTCAACCCATACAACATTCATCTAAAAATCAAAAGTAGGCAAATTAGTATTAAACACACGGTCCTTCCCCTCCTGTGTTCCATTCTCATGGTGGTGGGGAACAGAGAGCAAAGGAGTGACCAACAGGGCTGAGGTGGTCAGGAAGGATTCTTCTGAGGAGGTGACATTTAAGCTGAGAACAGAAAGATAAGAAGGATCCTGTTTTGGAAAAAGCAAGAATGTTTCAACCAAGAAGACAACCTGTGCAAAAGTAGGAAATAGCGTAATGTATTTGGGGAACTGAATGAGGGCCAGTGTGACCGTCAGGTGGTGACCTGGGGGAGGGGTTGTCTGGGGCCAAATCACACAGGGGCTTGTTGGCCAGATGAGGAATTTGCACTTTACTTTCAAGGCTGTGGGGAGCCTTTCAAGAATTTTAAGCAGGGGAGAGATATACTCGAGTGTACATTTTTAGGTGATCACTCCTGCTGCTGTGTGAAGTATGGATTGAAGGGGCCAGACTGGTTGTGGGAAGACCAACTGGGAGGCTTTCCGTTGTTCCAAGAAGGAGATGGTGGTGACTTGGACTAGGGTGGCACTGATGGAGATGGGGAGAAATGGAGAAATGCAAGATACATTTTGGGGATGGAGTTGATAAAATTTGCTGATGGATTAGCTAGGGAATAAGGGGAAAGGAAGAATCCTTTGCCAGTGGCTTGCTTAGGATATGTTAAATGTTAGATGCCTGGTGATATCTGAATAGAGAAGGTAAGTAGCCAATGTATTGTACAAACTTTGAACTTGGGGCTAGAAATGTACTTTAGGGAGTGGCCAGCCGAGATGACAGTGGAAGCCATGGGTGGGAGAGAGGGGAGAGGTTGTCCAGGGGCAGTGCAGGGGGAGAAGAGGATGGATGAGTCCTGAGTGTGGAGGAGCACTAACATGAGGCGGTCTCAGGGAGGAGCCTGGAAGAGATCTAGCAGAGTAGCAGCGCAGTCAGAGCAGCTGGGGCATGTGGTGTGCTAGAGGCAGAGAAGTGTGAGCAGCTTATTCAGCCATGTCCAGTGCTTCTGAGGAGTTGAGTAAGGTCATCTTACACTGGCAGCAAAATGATGCGAAGATAAGGACGGAGCCGTGTTCATTGCGTTTGACTAAGTGCTGTTTGAACTGAGGAGTGGGTGCAAAGTCTAGCTTAGAATGGATTAAAGAGAGAGTGGGAGGGGAGGAATTGGATCAGTGCGTAGATCACTATCTGTACTACTCCGGACAGTAAACACACCTACGCTCTGCTGTGGGAGGAGACACTGTCACTGTCTTCCAGGGCTGTTGGCTGTACAAATATCCTGGGAAAAGTCCAGTCCAGATGAAACGCAAGAGACTCATGGATAATTGTCTCCCAGTAAGAGCCACTCCTCCTTTCTACACCGTATCCTGGTACTTTCCCCTTGAGAATGTTGCTCTGTCAGCCACTCTGGGTAATCTGATGACCAGGGCCTGGTGCGGCATTTAATTAGGGCTGCTATGAACAAGACTCCAACAGCAGGATGAGGCCAACCTGCAGTGCTGACCTCAACCATGCCCCAGGGTCTCAGCCTGCCGCACAAATTCCAGAAACCATCAGGGCATGTCTTAAAAACCAGTTGGCTTTCTCCTTGTTTCTCTACTGACTTTCGCACTTGGTTCGAGGCATCGATCCAGGTATGGCCGCATGTATTAGCGATTGTGCAGATTCCACCTGGGCTCTCAGGAGCAAGTCTGGGGCAGTTCTGTCGTCCATAACAACCCTAGCCAGGGGGTTGGCTGCTGGCCTGAATGCCCTGCAGGGCAAAGTGGTGTTACTGACCACTTTCACGAAAGCTGCACACAGATTTCATACCACCTTTTTCATTGGATGACTGTAGGGAAGTTGCCCATAGGATGCACATAAAATAATGAGTCAGTTAACCCTACAGGAAGCTTCCCCGAGTAACCAAGACCAGTCTCTGGAGAGATTGTCATGGTCAGCTGAGAGCTTGCTGATGATATTTTCCAAAACACCTACAGGTCTCTTATGACCAAGCCTAAGATGTGAATAACAATGTTTTCAGGTGGAGGCCAATTTAATACTGATTTCCACAAAAAAAAAAAACAGGCCTTGGGGTGCACGTGGTGCTCTGGAAAGGAAGTGTTCCTCACGGTTTACAGCTGGGCCCTGCGTCATTTGGAGAACACAGGTAGTCAGGGCTTTTGGCCAGCTGGTAGGCCTGAGTTTTCACTTTAGCCCACATCTTTTCATTTAGCCCTTGTGTTTGGAGGGACCGCCTGAGGGCAGTTAGTCCCTTCTGTCCTTTTTTGTTTGCTAGCTGAGTGACATTTGTCTGCCCCACTGAATGACTGAGGGATGGCGGTGTGGGGGGTGTAGGAGCTGGGATAAATGTTGCTGATAGACTTCTGCTTCTGATAGATTTATTGGTAATGATGACCAAATGGTATTTGTGTTTTGAGCTGTTTGTTAGGGGTGGGCAGATTCAGGCATCAGTTGTCATAAATTTAAGGTGCCCGTTACAATGGAATCTTTTTCAGCCTTAAAAAAAGAAGGAAATCCTGCCATTTGCAACAACATGGATGAACCTGGAGGACATTATGATAAGTAAAATAAGGCTCAGAAAGACAAATACTGTGCGATCTTACTTATATGTGGAATCTAACATAGTCTAACTCATATAGGCAGATAAGGGTGGTCGTCAGATATTAGGGGGAGGGGGAAATGGGGAGATGTTGGTCAAAGGGTACAAACTTGGAAGTTATAAGATGAGTAAGTTTTGGAGACCCAACATACTGCATGGTGACTATGGTTAATAATGTATTATATACCTGAAATTTGCTAAGAGTAGAGCTTAAGCATTCTCACCACACAAGCAAAAGGTAACCGTGTGAGGTGATGGATATGGAATGTGGTAATACACTCACAATATATACATACATCGCATTGGATACCTTGGGTATATGTAATTTTTGTTAATTATACCTCAGTAAAGCTGAAAAAATTTAAGATGCTCACAACAGTTTGGGAGAGCCTCTCCAGGGTGCTTTGCTTCCTGAGGGCAGCTCCAGGGCGGTTCTGAAAGATAAAGGAGCTTTAACAAATGCTCCTCTGCACCCCTACCTCTGGAGTATAACCTGTTTCCTCCCCAGATGCTGAGGTCTCTTCTCTCCTTCCACCTCTACAAATCTGTGCGTCCCACTCCAGTAGCTATTAAATATAACTTCACCTTTTTTTTTTTTTTCCTAATCAACTCCTGTTCCTGAAGGGGGTTTTATAAAACTTATGAAGAGCCATTATGCCTCCCACTTTGGGCCACAGTGTACCCAAGCACACGGTCATTACCCTTGTGACCTAGGACCATGTGAATCTCACAAGAGACTCCAGGTGGCTTGCCCAGACTTAAGTTCAAATCCCCTAAGCCCTCTTTTGGCTGGCTGCCACATGGAGGGTGCGCCGCCTAGGCTGGCCTGGGGTTCTATAGGGGAAAGAAAGAAGCAGTATGCCCAGGAATGGTTAGGGTGGGATCCAAGAATTTCAGTTTGGTCTGTATAGGCACCCCAATCCCTTCTGTCCTGATCATTACTCGGGAAACGGCTGAGAGAGGATGATCCTTTTCCAGAGACAGCCACAATCAGTGAGCAAACTGCCTTACTGTGTTGTGTGGACTAGGAGATGAAAGAGGTGGAGAAATCTTTGAGTCCATTTTTTCAGAGGCTCTTCCAGTGCTCAATACCAGATGCCCGTGGATGGTAGGGAGGCACAGAAGACCTTGATTTTTAACCCATTCTTCAGTAGCATTTGTGTAAAAGGTGTGTCATTGTCAGACTGTGAATAGTGAGGAAACTAGACACAGCACAGATTCATTTCAAGGGTCACAGTGGTGTGGCGGGAGTCCGCAATTGGACTAGAACATCAACACCATAACCTGGAAAAATGTAAACTGAGTGTGGAGTCCTGAAAGGAGGTCAAAGGTCGACTGTAGTAAATCTGCCAGGAGTGGGAAGAGGCAACAGTGCTTGTCATGTGGCCTCCCTCACTGCAAGAGGAACGAGTCAGCTTCCGGCAGGAGTCATGAGTCTGGCATGCAGTGGTAGCCTCTGCATCAGAAGAACAGTCCTTTACTTTGCCCATGGAAGGTGGTGGATGTATTACTATGCAGGACGGTGATGGATTCAGGCAGCAGTGGTGGCAGTCTGGGCAGTGTAGGCTCAACCAACAGCATGACTCCAGTCATTGCATCATGGAACAACCCTTTCTGCAGGCATCTGGGTAAGTCACCCTTGTGGTTCAGTCCGCAGCCCTAAACACAGGCGTCTGTAATCTGCTAATCTGTAGTTCTGTAAGGGGCAGACCAAAGTAGCTAGACTTTTGGCAATAGCCTGGGAGTCAGTAAATATGTAACAAGATTCACCCAGGGGGATATCAGCCAGAGCTATGGGGATCGCCTTGAGTTCTGCTCACTGAGCAGGTGGCCATGTGCATTTTCACTTCTTTGTATCTGGAGCTGACCTGAACAGCCACAGCAGCCCAGTGGGTACCACTGGGTTCCAGCTTAGCCAGATGGCCCATGAATGAGGCCCAGGCATTTAGGGGGATTTCGGTGAATCGAGGGTGGTAATGAGGCAGCATCTGTGCTTCAGGTAGATGCTGTAGTGGAGGGGGAGTAAAGTTTTTCCCCAAAGGGAAAACTACCACTTCTCCACATTAAGCCCATAGACTGCTGGGGCTTGGCCAGCCGTGTTCTGGAATGTACCACTTCTGTTTGACAAGCGAACTTGTTTGGCCCTTCCCACCTTGGTAGTCGTCGTGTTGGAGTTGACTGAAGAGTCACAAGGCTCCATCATTCACAGGTTCAGCTTTGACAAGAGCTTGATAGCAAGCTAATGGCTGCTTGTCAAAAGGGGTGTGCCTGGTGGCTGTGTCGGGGGTGAGGAGTCGGAACCCTTAAAGGGCACTTCCAGGTGCAGGCTGCCTCCTTTTGCAAGAGGCTTCAGTTGGCAAAAGCCACAGAGACTGGTGCCTCAAAGGTAGAGAATGTGTCATAGCTTGCTGCACAGTTTGCCATGCAGCTGACTGGTTAGGCACCATTCAGGATGCTGGTTTGTGTGTTAGCCAATATACAGAACCCAGTAGAATGTCTAAGTGTGGACTGTCTCAGTGAGGGTTCAACTGGAGAAGCAAAACCAGTAGGGGAAAAAAAATAGAACACACAGAGAGCATACAAGGAATTGGTTTACTCAGTTGTGGGTCTTGCTAAGCAAGTCTGAAGTCCAGGCTGGCAGCCGTTGAAGAGCAGGCTGGACCCCGCAGGCAAGAGCTGGAGCTTGTTGTCCCAAATAGTGGTCAGGAGGGAGGACCCAGGGAGAGGGAGAGCAGTTACAGACCCAGGTGCTGTTCGGTTGTCTCTGGGCTCAGGGAAAGCTTAAGTCCTCCTAAGGGGCTTCTAACTGATTGAGTCAGCCCCACCCAGGATAATCTCCCTTTTGATTAACTTAACAGACTTGAGACTTACACCTGCAAAATCCCTAGCCAGCAGCACTTTGATGTGATTGAATAATTGGGGGAAGGTGTGTGTGTGTGGGGTGCAAAACAGCCACTGGCCCATCTGGCCTCTAACTCTCCAGAGCAAACGTCCCTGTGGCCCACCTGAATCAGAAACATACTAGAAAGCACATTGCGAGGACTTTAGTTCAGCTTGGCCACACTGATACATCCCCAAGCCATCTAGGCACACACTGTTTTCAATACCCAAAGAGTGCAACAAGGTGCTAGGCTTCCTTTTTGGTAGTGGGAGGCTGAAGAGCCATTTTTCTTTGATGGCCAAAGGGATTAAGCATTGTGAATCCACCCACATAGTCCCAGGAAACTTAACTTGGTGAGCAGACCTCCCTGAATTCAGCTGGCAGAGGTGTGATCACAGCCTAGTGAGGACCATTGAGACTGAGGCTTGTGACTTGCCAATGAACAGGATATCATTTTATGTAATGAAAACTTGAGATGTCAGAGGGTAGGGGTAGTTGCTTTATATCCTGAGCACCCACTGGTGACAAATGGTGGAGAGATTGTCCTACTAACATTTCTCCACCTACAGCTCTTCCCGGTTGGGAGAACCCCCTCTGGCTTTATGGACAGGGAAGTAGAAGTATCTATGACACATCACTTTCTACTGTACATTCAGATATAGAAACAACAGTATATTGAATTGGCACAAAGGACCCCATCCACTGTGAATCCTGTCCGAACCTCTTTAATTGAATCTGAGTACCCCCTGCCCCAGGGCCAGGTAGGATGATGACTTGGGTGCCTGTATTCAGAGTCATAAAAGTTCGAGTCCCCTTTCTGAAGTTCTCCAACTTGGATGGGTGCATAGGTTTTCAATTCCTCTTAGGGACAGGGATACCCTGGATCACTCCTATAATCTTTCTCTTTAAAGCAGATGTCAGGGTAGAGGGCAAGGGGAGGGATCAGGGGCATTGAGGGAGACTGGCTCTGTGCCAGTAAGCAAGGCACATTTAGTTCCAGTTCTAAGTGGCCTGGAGGTTACTTACAGCTCAACCTAATGAACTTTGCAGTCACCTAAAGATCTATGTAATCTCATTACTGGCATCATCTGTTTTAGCTTTGGGGACTCCTATATTCAACAGCTACAGCCACATTGCTTCTCATCTGGTGCCATGGTGCCTGCTGCCTCAATGTCATGATAACATCCCTCCCTCCTGGCACCCAGAGGAGAGTGGGCAACAACCACGGCACCACTGGGCAGCTTGTTTCGGTCCTACCTTTTGCTGCTCACCTTCTAGACGGTAACGTTATTGCCCCATACCCACCACTTGGACAAGAACATTTGCTACTGGATCCCAGGGAATCTTCTCATATCGTCTAAGCCCCCAGAGCCTTGTCTTTTCTGTTTCAGAAAGCTATGTCTCTGCCAGCATCTCATCCTTGTCACCAACAACTGTTGAGAACTGTGATGGGTATGAGATTTTATCCTACTTGCAAGCTGACAAATGTGCCTGGCAGTTTACTGGATGCTGGCAGAAGACACGAGATTTCTGGGTCAGAGACAAAGACCATATCACTCACAGCACAGCCAACAGCATCAGCTGGTTAAAAGAAAAACTGTAGATAAATTAAATTTAACAGTGTTTATTTAAACAAAGAGTGATTCATGAGTTGGGTAGCACTCAGAAACAGAGGATGTTTGGAGAGCTCTACCCTAGCAGTGTGAGCAGCAAGCCACACTGCCAAACACAGAAGCAAAGTCGAGAATGACCTGATTGGCTACAGGTAGGTATTTGCCTTATTTGGGTGTGGGGTGAGGAGGCATTTGCTTTATTTGCATATCGTCTGATGGGAGGTCCTAGTTGTATAACCAATTGGCTGGTTGGCTGTTTGTGATTTGTGAGGCACATTTTTTTTTTTTTTTGAGTCAATTACAAGAAATGTTTCCAAGTTATATTCAGGTTTGCTTACATAAGACCTCTGGCTACAGACTCAACCTCAGGCTAATGGCCTCCTTCCTATTTGTGTCAACAAACTTCACGTTTGTGTCAGTTTCTCTTGCCCTGTAAGTCCCATAGGAACAATGTGGAGTGGCCTCGATGGCTGCTGCACATGCAGTGGGTTTGTGTCATAGTCATAGAACCCTGAGTTTAGGTAATCCAAGTCTTGATCCTGGCAGAAGACACATGACTCCTGGGTCAGAGACAAAGGACCGGTTATACCCCAGCCAATGGCAGCTTCATGTTTGTGTCCATTCCTCCCGCCCTGTGAGTCCCACAGGGGCAGTCAGAGTGGCTCAGGTGGCTGTTGCATACTCAGTGGGATTGTGTTGTGGCTGTAGAACCCCAAGTGTAGGTAATTAAAATTCTTTATAAGGGGCTAGAAGCAGAACTTGCCCAACCTTACCCTGAAGGGAGCTATTATTTACTGGACAGTCTGGTGGGAGATACTGTCTGTCTTTCTAGACTGTTCACTCTACACTCATTCTTGAAAAGATAGTTCAGAACAAAAGCAGCCAGTTGTGGGGAGTTAGCTATGCTCCCAGCAAAAAATCGCGTCCCTTAGGCAGGGGTCGTTGCAAAGGATAAGAAAATAATAGAAAATGGAAAATAATAGAAATAAAAGAATACACAGAGACGAAGGTATAGTTTTATAGATTTATAAAGATAAAAGGCAAAGTGGGAGTACTCTGGGGTCCTTACGATATCCCTGTCAATTGTAAGGACCCGAATAAAGTTTCACATGGGTATTTATAGGTACAGAGATCAGTTGCCAGGGGTAACAGATTTACATAATAACAGGTAGTTTGTTTTAGGTTAAAAGTCTTTCATAGATCCCTTAATTAACTCTGGTTACAAAATCTTTCAAGGAAAAACTTTTTTTTTTTTTTTTTTTTGAGACACAGTCTCACTCTTTTTGCCTGGGCTAGAGTGCCGTGGCGTCATCCTAGCTCACAGCAACCTCAAGCTCCTGGGCTCAAGTGATCCTTCTGCCTCAGCCTCCCAAGTAGCTGGGACTACAGGCATGCGCCACCATGCCCGGCTAATTTTTTCTGTATATTTTTAGTTGTCCGATTAATTTCTTTCTATTTTTAGTAGAGACAGGGTCTCGCTCTTGCTCAGGCTGGTTTCGAACTCCTGAGCTCAAACAATCAGCCCGCCTCAGCCTCCCAGAGAGCTAGGATTACAGGCGTGAGCCATCACTCCCGGCCAAGGACAAACTTTTAAGTTCTAAGATAAAGCTATCACTTAACAGAAGGGTTAAACAGAGATATAGTGGCTCCATATTTCTTTATCTAATTATTGCAGGTAAAGACAGGTCATCAGAAGTCAAGCAGGAACTGTCCCTTGGGCTAATTGTTTTTAGCCACAGGTATCTGTCCCTCAGGCAGACATTCTTTGATCAGCTCTCATCCTGTGATTCCATGCAGACCTTGCTTTGTCCTTCAGAGTAGGTGAGAACCACAGGTTTGAGTCTGCAGGGTCACCTTGGAAAGCACCTGCTACTGACCTTTGAGATACCCTCCTGAGGTAGAGCAGCTTTTGATATGCAAACTAACACGTTCACATATTCCTTCTGGGCAAAGCCCCGCAAAACTCCTGGGATCGTATCTGTCTCTAATATAGTAATATTAATTTATGGAGCAACAGCCAGTGCCTCTGCTTATAGACATGCAGAAGTGTGAGAGACCCATGGAAAGATATCCCTCAACACACAGTGCAAAGATTAACATTCTCACTGGTGATTGTGAATCAAGAAAAATAGAA